GAGGTGTCCCTGCCCATGGCAGGGGGTTGGAACTGGATGGGCTTTAAGGTCCCTTCCAACCCCAACCATTCTATGATTCTATGATTATATAAAAAAATCACCCCAGGAGCGTGCTTATGTTGAATCTACTAGTGATCACTTACATTGTTGCCCTTTGTAGCCTGCTCAGTATAGCAAATGGACAATATTTGCTGAGGTTTTTATTTAGGTGTGTGTGTTTTGTTTCCTGTTTTCTTATACTGGAGAACTTCCTGTGTACCTTTTATTGGGTTTTTTCCGTTCTCGTGTCTTGATAGTTGTGACTATCCATCTAGAAATGGATGTGGCCTTGTGACAGAGACCTAACTTCTTACAAGATTCATCTCAAAAAGTGCATTTGTGTATATAAATGGATATGTTAAAAAAAACCCAACACATTTCTAGAGATGTAGAATTAAATGCTTTCTGTTGAATCATAGAAGTCCACTGTTACATTCTCTTTATGATAAATATCATGCCAATTGGTATCAAAAAGTAGAGTATACTTTGGGTACAAATTGTTGTTGATTTGACATCAAAATACAATGACCCAATAAAACCACAGTTCTTAGCTTGTGTTATTTCTGTAGAATCTCTGTTGTTTATGCATAGGCTGTATGTGTTCGCTGCAGACAGGATAATTGTGAAGTTAAACACTAACGCTCTTTGTTATACAAAAAAGCTTTAAATACTCTGTACCTATCAAACAACACTTGGACACAAAATCCCAGTTACATCAAACATGCAGGACCTTAGCGCATCTCCCCTCCAGCCAGAGCAGCCGGGTGTGCTGGGTGTGCTGTAAAGCTGACTGAACACACCGTTCCAGAAATGCTGCTTGCCTGCCGGGGTCAAGCTCCGATTTAGTTTTCCTTCATTAACAGCTTCCTGAACAGCAGCAAGTGCTTCTGCAGTTAGATTCCCAGTTACCGGTGGTTTATATTGGTCAAATTGTTAAAGCCCTTCAGAGGAATGAAGCCCCTGTTCCAGCAGCCGATCGTCTGTTCGACAGCCACAGGGAGCGGGCTGGGGGACTGGGGAATGAGATGTCTGCCCACGGGGCTGTAGGCAGCAGCCTGTGACACTGCTGAGAGAGGAAAATGAATTTAACACGCACGTTGCCTCAATTTTTTTCAGACACTGGCCAGAAGAAGACCTCAGACAAGAAAGATGGGCGACGAATGTCTTTTCAGAAGCCTAAAGGGACTATTGAATATTCTGTAAGTTACTGCTTTATTGTCAGAATGTCATTGCAGAGCAAGTGCAGACTTAAAGTTGCCTTACAAAATATATCCAAAACAGTAATGTGCATTACCTTTAATCTTAGAATTTTGTGTGTCTGATAGTTTGACAGGAATTACTTCTGGAATTAGCTTGAGTAATGCTTTTATTTTTTTTTAAGTTACTTTTTCTTCAAAAAACCTAATTAATCTGACTGGATCACTTTTAGGTAACTAGTTAGAAGCAGTAAATAACATTAATTATAAAATCATGTGCAAGTTCCCTGCTCTCAGTGTTGTTAATAAGCTGTTGACATTGGGAGAAATAACAGAAGGAAGTTTTGGAGAGGAGAGAGCTATATATTGGTACTAACCTTCTGGTCTTCTAATAATTTTCATAGATCTGTACCTTTTACTCTACAGATCTGTTTCTGCAGCAGTATCTGAAAATGGAGCCTTTCTCTGCCTGTTCTGTTCTTGAAATGACCCTCAAACTGTGCTGCAGTCAGCTTCCCACGTTTGTGGTTACTAAGGGAAACTGAAGTGAGAAGAATCTGTCTTGTGTTATATACTGAAAATATAATTAAGCCTATAAATAATGCCTATAGGGTTGACATTAAAATAGGGAAAGTCTGTCACAGCTATATTTGAATGCTTTTGAAGCCAGACATGATAAAATAAAAATGAGAAGTTCTTTATAAGAAGCCCGTACTTGACCTTTTGATGTCCTCTTATTCCAAGAATAAGAGATACAGGGGAGACTTAACTCTTAATGGTACGTTAAGCCAAGCGGTGATAGGGCTCAAAGACGGAGAAGGCTGTGATAGTCATTTGGAGAGAGGCAGAGGATGGGTGTATTGGAGCACCCAGCACTTCATTACTGGTTTATATTGAGAACTCGAATATAGTTCTAGATTATAAGAGAGACTTTCTTGAAGCTGAAATTCAAAAAAGACATTTCTGCTGCTTAGGTTCTAACAGTTTGGTAAAGTAGATGTGACTGTTTCTATTACAATAGCCTCATTTTCTCTGAAATAACTGGAAAAAGTGCTCAGGTGTGACTGTCAAACTGGGTTCTCTCTTCAGTTAGTAAATCCCTTAACTTGTCTCTTGCTACCATGTGCATGCATGGATGTAAGATTCCAGGCAAAGCTAATGCACAAGGTTTTTTGTTTTTTTTTTTTTAAATTAGTATGTTTGTGTCAAGTTGTCATGTACTTTTGTAGGTTTTGTGTTCTAATAGGTGGGGTTTTAGTTGCAAAAATAACTTTCTTAATACATGCTGAAGTATGTATCACTTCCTTTTGAGTCAAAAAGACGATTCACCAGAATCAAAGACTTCTTGTCTCTAACCTTAGTTCGGCTTCTAAGGCAGCCTGTTGTGTGGATGGAACACGGTGCGTTTCAGCTCCACAAGCGCAGTATTCTGCCAGTTATGTGTCATGCACGTATGTCTTAATAAAATACCCAGATCTAGCCTTTAGGAGCCAGGGTTATGTTCACTATATGTTTAAGAGAGGTCTGGTAATTACTGTGATAGTTCGCTATTGTTATTGTTTGTGACTTTGTACTGTGTGGAGAGATGAACTTATGTCTTGTCTACATCCTACTACCTGTCAAAGTAACAACATACACACATATATAAATATACACACACATGCACGCATACGTATTTGTATGTCTGTATGTGTTCCTGCTTTGAGTAGTAGGAGGATGGAGGTAGAAACCAGGCTTCCCCCCAGTATTGTTGGAAAGTTAGAAGTTTTTGCCTTTTTTTTTTTTAAAAGATAATTTAATGTGTTAGTTTTTCCAGTGGCTATGTGGTTTTTGGAAGAAAGGGCTTATTTGTATTCCTGAAGTTCAGAGTGAGATAGAATCTGCAAACTATGGGTTTCTAACGTGAAATGCACTTCCCATCAGAGTTTTTTAAAGAAGAAAATCATTGTTTTGGGGACAGACAATAAAATAAATTTTTGCTTTAAAGATAAAGTCAAAAGGCAGTTAATGTTAAAGATTTTAATCTAAAATTCCCAGAGCATAAAAACTTTGAACTATTATTCTGTGTGTAGCACTGAGATGTCAACAGATGTGATACTAAGTGAAGGAAGCGAGTCCAAAGCTTCCCCAGACTAGTAGGTTTAAAAGAATGTCACCAAGTTAATTTTCAGTGGCTGCCTCTAAAGGATATGGAAAACTCTGGTTTATTCTAACTGCTATTGTTTAGACAGTGAACAGATTATTTTTTGAATTAATATAGTTGTTCTTCTCCTGCATGTCAGTCAGAAGATGAGATGCAAGCTGATGTTATCTCTCAGTGCCATGGCCACAGTTGGTGCTCCAAGGCAGTTGTTTTCCCATCCTGCACACAGCTGATGCATATGAACAGGCTCTGAGTTTAGATAGTTTAGGTGAATTATTGTTACTTGTTAGAACTTGTGGTCCTTTTTATGTTGTGAAAATAGCATTTTACGTTGCTTATTTGACATCAGTATATTACCACTTCATTACAACACATAACACAAAATACTGATACAGACATAACCAGTGTCTGCTTGCAGGTCTTAGAAGAGCCAACTGCAGATAAATAAATAAAGAAGCATAAGCAGAGAGCATTGGCCACTGATCACCAACGATACTAGCATGGTAGCAGATGCATGACTTCAGCAACTGCCTTCTAACCCCCATTCCTTTGGAGGAGAAAAAGGAAATAATTGTTGCTATTTACAGTTAGGTTTTTCAAGTGCAATAGACTATACAGGAAAAGCACTTCTTGTTGAAAAAAAATAAAATTATAAGTGAGTAATGGAAGCAGATGTTCTGGTTTATCCCTGTTGGAGGTGCAACTGTAAGACCTCCCTTCCCCTGCCCCACTCCTTTCCTCTTCAAGTCTCTGGGGACTGAAGGCTGTGCTCTTCTGAAATAGCAGACAAGCCCCTAATGCACAGAGTATGTTGTCTGGGTCATGAGAAGAGCCTGATACCAATCAGTGAAAGTTACACAAGCCTATAGTAGACCAGAGTCTTAAGCCTAAATTTTAAGCCAGACTCCTCCGTGCTGAACTGCTGTTCTTCCTGCATGTGATCCCAGTTATTTAGTGGTAAGTCCAACATCCAGAAACTGTGTCTTGACTCTTTTTTGTTCTAGTTAGAAACCAGTTAGAAAAGTATACTGAGAACAAAACTACAGGGACTTGTGCAGTCGCCTTCTTTAGGTAGAGCAAGAAGGAGTTTTTGATCCTTTCTTAGCTGAGGGGCCATGGGTGGCAAGTGTTTTTGTGACCATCAAACAGATGTAAGTTTGCTAGAATACTTGGAGTTTCTTGTTGTCATGACCTGCTGAATGTGTATTTTGAGGGTAGATAAATGATGGGTATCAGTGAATATCTTTCTAGAGTAACTGCAGATTTCACTTTCAGTCCTAGTTGGATAGAGTTCTAAAGGGTCTCTCTTCTGGTGCAACAAGTTTCATTGCCGTTGTAAGCCTCCACATGCTGTTTAGGCTACTACGCACCTGAGAGTTTTTGCTTTTTTTCTTGGTGCTTCCATTTCAAAGACAGGGATTGTGTTCTTGTCTGACTGTCACTTTTCTTTGAGCATCCCACTGTCATAGTCTTCTTCCCAATTTTGGGGAATTTCGAGAATGTGGATCATAATGGTGACATACGATTTTATCCATTTTATCTTTTACCTAATTTTAAAATTATTTTTGAAGTTTATTTACAAGTTCAGTCTTCCCCATGTTGCATATTACAGAAACCAAGCCTATGAACAGTTAGTTAATGTAGTCATGATCTGGTATTGCTAAAGGCTTGGGTACAGTGGCAAAGTTGTTGTCTCCTCTTCTCCTGTTTGTCCTCAACCCTCCTTCTAGTCTTACCATTTCTTTAACTTTGTTGGTTACTTTATTTAATACTCTTAAACTATTGTTTTCTTGTTTTCTGGTTCTTGGACAACTAGTCTTGAAGAGAGTTTGATTTGAGATGATTCAGGAAAAGAGAAATGGAAGCTGTAGATCTTAAGTGGCTCTTTCTGTATCTAGTCATATCTGTAAAAACTGATTTTTATCTAACTTAAAATTTTAGACTTACTTGTATCTACATGTAAGTGACTACGTAAGGTAGAAGTAAGTAGGTAGTAAGGCCCTATGTGTCTTATCTCTGCATAAGAGTGCTGATAACTAGAAGCTCTTACTGTGGAGTATAGGAAGGCTATTTACATTTTAAGAAGCTCTTTTTCAGCAAAAATTATTGTACAAAGTGGAGTTTGTTTTTGTTAAACTTAACGTGGTCCTGAATAAACAATTCTCATTTTCTTTTTACACTTTCATTAATTATTTTTCAATCTTTATACCCGTCAGCATACTGAAGGAGGCACTGAACTACTTCAAAGCACCAGCTGGCTTGGTCAAGTCCTTTTGAGATGGTTTCAGGAAATAGTCGTGTTTTCACATGTCTGGTGGTTGTTTCTCAGAGGTTTACTTTTATTTGAATAGATCTTGCCATTCTGTTAAAATCATGAAACGGTGTCATCACTGTTTGTCATCCCTCTCTCTCAAAAGGGGGAATTTTCCTGTAGTCCTTTACTATCCAGGTGGTTATATAAAACTCTGAATATTTAGAATAGCACTTAAACAACTACATGCAAGATGTATAGAAAATTTGTTTCCTGGGAAAGAAGGAATTACTTTTTGCCTTCTCTTCCAGTGTTGAATTGATGGGGAAAAGCTGGGGGGTGGTTGTGAGATGTGATGGTGCATTTTTTCTGCGTTAGTTCTTAAACTGTGCTTTTCCACAAAGTTGTTATTTTAGGTTTTGGCACTTCAGAATCCATTTTTTAAAATAGTAGAATGTGCAAGAATTGAAAAATGGGCCTTTGAACATAGGGAGATACTTCAGGAAGTCTTTATTACATGAACATTTTATTTGTTTTAAAAGGTATCAGTGCTGGTCTCTGAAATCCTGTGTAGTGTAGAGATCTGCCTGTGTGAACTTTGCAGCCAAATAAGAGACAGAAGCTTATTTGCCGTTCTTGTTGTGTTCATGATTTGTGAGATAAACCCGTGTGTTGCCAGGAGATCTCTCTAGATGGTTCTATTTCTGAAGGCTGAAAGAGTGAATGCGCTCTCAAAGGTCTGAGGTGTTGTAGTTTTTATCTGAATCCTTTTAAGTAATTTATTTTATATCAGACCATATGTTAGACTAAAATCTAAAATACTTTACTCGTTAAGTGATACCTAAGCAGTATCCACATAGCAGCTAACTACTGTCTTCCAACATTTCTGTGAGAGCAAATTTGTGAATTGGGCAAAGCTTTTGAGTCTCCCTTGACAGTTTGTTTTAGCAAACCTTCTCTGTGATGCAGAGTTGCTGATGGAAACACTGCTGTTCTTTGACTTGGTTGTCCATTTTGTTATCATCTATGGAACTAGTAGTACTCATCTGGCCAGGTTAGGGTCCTGTTTGGATTTCTGCTTTACCACCAATGAAAAGTGGCGTACAAGAATATTCTTATTTTTCACACATCTGTGTGATCATACAGAACTGAATTACGAAGAGGTGCTACAATGCTGTCATTCATACCTGAAATCCTAGTAGAGAGGGATGCTTGCAGCTTTGTTTAGCTTGATGTCTTCCTGTAGAAAGAATTGTTGTCATAGAATTGGAAATTTCTTAAGAAAGCTAATTGCTGTTTCTTTGGCAATACTTGTCTTTTTTTTCTTCAGTGAATCTAGGCTGACAAATGCACCTTTACAAAATGAAAATGAATTATGGAAAGGAATTCTTTAACTCTTAATTGGGAACCTTAATTATGTTAGTATCCCAAATCACCCTGTTTTTATTTGTTGAACTATAACAGCCTTCAAAGTAAGTCATATTTTCAGCACTCTTTGTTGCAGGACAACCCACTTTGCTATTTAAAGGATACTGTTTGCTGCTTTACATCTGTCAGTTACGCATGTTGTATTCCTGTACTGGCAACATGTGTTCTCTAACATGACATAACTTTGAAAAAGTTAAGAAAGATAAATGTTTATTTTCATAAATTCTTCTGGGGTTAGTGTTCTGTTCAGTGTTGTGTTTTGGAAGGTTTAAGTGGGCAGGCATTTTGAGGAGCAATTATTTAACTTTTGATGTGCTGCCTTCGCTTTACACCCAGTAGGAACTCTGTTTGCCAGCTATTCTTGCAATGCTAATACAATGTATTAAAATATTAAATATTTAATCACCCAATATTAACTAATACTATAACCTGTAGATACATCTTCTTCCACTCTGGCAAAGTGTTTGCTGCTGCTGCGAGGAGTGAATGTGCCTGGACAGACCCTGCTGACGGCAGTCTGTGCAGCGCCCGTTAGTCAGATGGAACACACTCATTCCACTCAACAGTCCACCACGGAGCACAGCTGGAAGCAGGCTAGCCCAGCGTATGTTATTTACCTCCGCTGCAGTATGGTTACGGAAATACTGGGGTTTAGTCTTTCAGTTCCAAACACTGCCTTTTGCTGTAAGGTCAAGGTCTGCTCGCAGAGCAAGCAGCACCAAAGCTGTTAAAACACATGCTCTGAGGCTTCTCCTTCCTTCCCCTCACCCTACCCTTAATTTTTTTTTCTGCCCCAGATCAATTGTTTCAGGCAGAAGTAAAGGATATCTACCTTTAAGTCTAGCAACAGTTGACAATACAAGACAGCATGCTCCCTGTGTTTTTGTGAAGGAGGTGAATGAAGAGCGGGAGATACCTGGTGGGTGTGCAGAGTCAGCTGGTGATAGCCACTGGCTTACTCAAAACCCTTGTGCGTGGAACATACACTAGGAAGAAAAATGTGGGTTTCTCTTCCATTTTTTCCCTGTTCCTTACTTTTCCCATGAAAATTAAGTAAAGGGAAGGGAATTTTAAAGAGAAAGCATTATTTTCTGTAATTGTCAAGAAAAGTTAAATAGCCTGAAAACAGAAGGAAAATTAAACCTGTGAATAATTAGTCTGATACTATTTATATAGAGTGGATGGTGTATAATGAGAAGACATTTAAGACAGGAGTCAGTGGATTTTTTTCTAGCTGTGCTCCATATTTAGCAACTCAAATGTAGCTTTGCTTCTGTAACTTCATCTTTTCTAACTGGTGGAATTTCTTTTTCCTGGTACAGTATTTATGAAGCCCTGTGCCATTGCACAATAAACTTCTTTGGGTTGTGTACTCCCTTGTCATATCACCTTCACCGTTTTTAAATGCTTGCTATCAATTCTTTATTCTGAAATACTCTCTGTGAATAAAAATTTCTGCTGTTTGTTCCTGTTGAACACATTTTGGGAGACGAGAGCGAAAATAAGAGTTTGAAAAAAATTCTTTCCTTAGTCAGGAATCACCTACTTGCAATGCTCAAGTTCCATCTGCTGTCATACTGGCTGACCTGTTTTGCTTCAACACTGTTGCTTTTTATCTTGTTTTTTTTACTCAAAAGTCAGGTTAACAGAAGCTTATTGCAATAGGAAGAGTGCTCACATTTATAGAGATTGCTTCAGCTTTTCTGAAAGTGAAAAACAGAAGAGAAGTTGAAGCGGGGGACTGAAGGGTTCTGTGAAACCAGTCAGTTGTGTACTGGTCCAGTGGTACCCAGCAGAGAATTTCTAGACCAGGAGTTCTGGTGCCATAGCTGAGCCTATGTCCCAGTGTGTGACTGGTGCTTCTGGCCACCTGGAAACATAGTGGGAAGGCAGAGGCCCTTCTGTGGGGTTGCAGCAGCCTAATATTTAGGGAGTAGGTATGTTTTGGGGGTTTGGTTGTGGTTTTTTTTTCTTTTTGGGACAATCATAAGATATGAAGCTTAAAGTTTATCAATCTCAGTAAATCCACATTGTGATAAAATTTGTAAGGCACTATTTGAACTAACTACTTACAGGTTTGTTTTTCTTTTTTTCCCCAATTGATACAGGTGGAATCAAGAGATACTTTAAACAGTATTGCCTTGAAATTTGATACAACACCCAATGAGCTGGTTCAATTAAATAAGCTTTTCTCCAGAGCAGTCGTTCCTGGACAGGTATTATTACACTATATGTCACTTATACAGCAAAGACCACTTTCCCTATATTTCTCATCTCTAGCAGAGAAAATGTTAAAGTACTTCTCTTACTGGTTTTCCGGTTTTCTTTGTAAAAGAGTTTTAAATTTTTCTCTAGTTTGTGATTTCTTGTACCTATTACATAAGTGCCTAAAAAGGGAACATGGAACAAAGCTACCTGTGTCTCTTCAATGAGATGCGAGGACTCTAAAACTAAATATACTTAATGGTCTACCAACACTTGGGTATAAGGTAAATTGTTGCTTTGCAAGTACAGCAGGCTGTTTACCAACACTAGCTTAGAAGAGAAGTTCAGGGCACATCTTGCAAACAGCATTCCTGACTGCATACTGCTGCTTGCAGTTCTGTTTTAATCAATTGAGTAATGTTTGTATTCCTCTCTGGAAACTTGCTGTCTTTACCAGCCCTACATGAACTATCATTCATTTCTTAAAGATGTTAGCAACAGTAACCTATTTCTTTCCCCTTTTTTGCCTTCACTTTTCATTTCTCTTTGAAAGCCAGGCCTGGAAACAAGTGATAGGCCAGCTATGGTGTTAGCCATTGGCCATCTGGCGTTAGCCTGCTCTTTGGAAAAATCCTGTGTTTATTTCTCGTTGCTGCAAAACTTTGTCTAGGTAGCTGTATGCCTACCATGGCCAAAACAAATATATTTAAGAGGTGAATAATTTCAGTTGATTTGTTTAATTGCTATTTTGTTTTTACATTCAGTGCTAAGAGCTACGTCTATGAACTTGTTCCCCAGCCTGTTTCGTGGTTGCTGAAATAGTGGAGTAACAGCAAGAGAAATAATCGGGCAGGTCTTCCTTGAACACTGTGTTGGGTGTTTCTGGCATGCTGAATGCTTCTGATGCTTTCTGTCTGAACTTTTTCCTCAATTATTATGACTAAAAATCAGTCTTATCTCAAGATAGCATTTAAAAGCTTCGAAAGCTAAACTAAGAGTTACTTTGTATGATGTTGTTTATTCCCTCAACTCCTAATTTCTGTTAAAATTAATGGGAGCAGGAAT